GATGCACGCGGAAACTCAATGAAATGTATCGGTTACGCTATGTTGGCCATGCTGGCTTTCGGAGTCACCAACTACCTTATTGGGTAGGTATGGGAAAATGTGCACATAGTCAACTACATGCCTTGGTGACAATTGGGGAATTGTAGGGTATCCTTGTTGGTTCCAGTACACTTCTACCCGAATTCGTATGTAAACTTTTCCTGAGCTCAGCTGAGGAAAGCGAACAAAATTCCAACACCGTGTTTCAGTGCCAAAGTTGTCCATGGTCAGGTACGCTACGAGCAGTTTGGAAGGTTCAGTCGAGACATTCTATGCAGTTGGCGCCGAATGGAAAATGATGGTCATCTTGTGGCTCTCTGGAGGTGTTCCCGGTAGGTTTCCCGAGTACCACGAACGATCTCAAGGCTTCATTTCCCAGGTCTAGTTTGCTACATTGCTCATTGGATGCATGTTGGCAAAATCGAGTTCTTCTGGGCAGATACTGAGAGCAACTCAGCTAACATCACCGTGTTGTCGAAGCTCTTAACACTAATGGGAGGAGTTGGTTTGGGCGTCTCTGTTAGCTTCATGAAGAAGGCCTTCGTATTTTCCTCCCCGGCTGACAAAGGTAACTCTTTGTTCGCCAGCACAGCATCATCGATGATGCTGTTACGGGTCAGGTCCGATAAGTGCTATAGTTGGCTCTACGATAATCATCGTCAGTTTGTATGGTCATTTCGTTTTCCGTGAACTTCTCAGTAAACGCCACGCTCTTCTGATAGGAATCTGCCATGAAGGACACTTCTCGGCTCGGCTCGGCCGAGCCGAGAAGCTCGACTCGTTTTTCGGTCGAGCTCGGTCGAGTTTCACAATTTCTTACTTCACTGCGAGCCTCGGTCGAGTCCCGTCGAGCCTCGAAGAGGCAACCCGCATGGTATGCGAAGTCCGCTTCGCGAAGTGTGACTGAAGCGCCGCCACGGTGGTCGTTGTCCGCCGAAGGCGGACCGACAAAAATTAGCTTCGCGTTCTTCCACTGTCCAAGAACCCGAAAACCCACGGATATGATATTCGAGACACCGAAGTTCAGCAATCGCTGACATTGACGGTCCAATTCCGTCCACGCTCCCCCACTCTATAGTTCACAGAATCTGGGTGTATACTTGAACTGTATGGGAATAGCCATGGATATGATACTCGAGACACCGAAGTTCAACAATCGTCGACATTGACGGTCAAATTCCGTCCACGCTCCCCCATTCTTTAGTTCACAGAATCTGGGTGTATACTTGAACTGTATCAGAACACCCACGGATATGATACTCGAGACACCGAAGTTCAACAATCGTCGACATTGACGGTCAAATTCCGTCCACGCTCCCCACTCTTTAGTTCACAGAATCTGGGTGTATACTTGAACTGTATGGGATAGCCATGGATATGATATT